TACAATGATGGGCGGGAGCACTCAAATCTCCCAGGTGCACATGAAAAAGGTTAGTAATTACAGCAGGGAAATCTCACTGCTGCAGTGTATAAATTAAAGTGGTTGTAAACCTTTACATACAGTATATTTAATGAAGTAGACATGTGCAATTCATTTTGTTCCAAATCAAAATTCGGACAAAGTTTTTGATAGTTGGAGATTCAGATTTTTCCGATTTTCCGAATCACAATAGTAACAAATTTCAACGAATCAGAAATAAATGATAATGAAATGAATTATTCAGATTCACAAATTAATTTGAAATGGAGACATATTGCAATAATAAATACAGCAAAGTATAAAAATTAAAAAAAGGATGATAATTCATGCTTAGGCTGCTTTATACAACAGAATAAAATAGAAAATAAAAGAAAAGAACAGAACAGAATAAAATACAATAGAATAGAAAATAAAAGAATAGAATAAAATAGAATATAAGGGAATAAAATAGAATGGAAATAATAAAATAGAAAATAAAATGGAATAGAATAGATGAGAATAGCATAGAACAAAATAGAAAGAATATAGCCATCTTCAAAAATTAAAATTTTGAAATTTGAATTCTGAATAGAATAAAAAAAATAGAAAGAATATAGCCATCTTCCAAAATTCACATTTTGCTTTTCGAATACAATAGAATAAAATAGAAAGTATATAGCCATCTTCCTAATGTTGAATTTCATTTTTAAATAGAATAAAATATAAAGGATATAGCCGTCTGCCGAAATTCGAATTTTAAAATTTGAATTTCGAATAGAATAGAGTAGAAAGAATATAACTGTTTTCCAAAATTTGCATTTTGAAAATAATAGAATAAAACACAATAGAATAGAAAAGAAATAGAATAGATTGGAAAACAATAGACTACAATAGAAAGAATATAGTTGTCCTCCAAAGTTACATTTTTTAATTTTGGCTAGAATAGACTAAAACAGAATAGAAAAGAATAGCATAAAACAGAATAGAATACAAAATAGTATAATAGGATAGAATAGGATGTCACAATTCAAATTTTGAATAGAATAGAATACAATAGAAAGAATATAGCCGTCAAATTTTTTATTCAAATCCATTGGAAAAATTTGAATCTGGTAGAAAATGAATAAATGAAACTAAAACTAAACAAAATTAATTTTGTTATGAATGCAACAAAATAAAATTTAGTAACTTAATGAATTGATCAGAAATTAAACAAAAGTAATTTTTTCATTTTGCACATGTCTACAGTAACACGATTGGCCACAGGTGATACACAGAGATGAAACAAATCTTTTTACACAAGTTTTACCTTTTAATCTACATCTGTCTGTCCCCTACATCCATTCAAAGGAATTTACACAGGATCTCTCAGCTCTGAATAGCAGGGGGCAGGGAGCTGAAGTTACACTCTGAGAGCTGATTGGAGGAAAGGGACACCTTCCCACCTCCCTTCACACACACAGCTCACAGGAACAGAACTGAGGCTATCAATCACAGGCTGTGCCCCCTCTGTCACCTTTTTTCTCTTGGTGTCAGTAAAACTTGTCAGAAATGACTCATGTTGATAGCAGAGGAAGGAGGCAGCAGAGAGAAATGACACTTTTGGTTTAATTTAATAAAAACTAGGGAGTGCAAAATCTGGTGCAACTCTGCATAGAAATCAATCAGCTTTCAGGTTTTATTGTCAAAGCCTAATTGAATAAGCTGAAGTTAGAAGCTGATTAGCTACTAGGAACAGCTGCACCAGTTTCTGTGTGCACCAGTTTTAGTAAATCTCCCCCTTAGTGCTGTGGATTGAGACAAGTACACACTATAGAGGGATATGCTTTGTTCATATTTCATGTCATAGGTTTACAACCACTTTAATAAAGAATTCAGAGGCAGCCCACCAGGCTTCACATATATCTAAAATATCAACTAGACCTTCACTTTAAGTACCTACATGACACAGAAATGTACAGAGAACTATAACCAGCACTGCAGAGTTACAAAGTTAGGATGCTGTCCAGGGGCGGACTGACAACTCATGGGGCACCCGGGCAATAGGGGATCATGGGGCCCCTGTGTCCTTGCCCAAACTCAAAAAAGACCATGAAAAAGGTACCAGGGGCATCTCATGGGGCCCCCTACTGACCACGGGCCCTCAGGCAGTGCCCGAGTTTCCAAATGGCCAGTCTGCCCCTGATGCTGTCTATTTTCCATCACTTCTATTGTCCTCTAATCAAATCCATATACAGTAAGTATTTATACAATATCTTTTATTCCATTTAATTCACCAACAGAAGTGATTTTTATGTTCTTTGTGCATAGCTGAAATACAATATTACATTACATTACTTCAGTCCTAATAAAGGCCATTTTGTGAAATTGGTTAAAAGAATTACTGCTGCCTTCTGTCTTGCAAGGCAAGCTATGTATGATAATGAGATGGGTTATAAACTGTTGAATTAATACTTGTGTTTCTTTTTGAGTATGTGCAGAGCAGTTCAATTCCCTTACAAGATGCCTTTTGTGAACTAAGGATTAAATGCTACTCTGCATCCAGAGAAATGATCCATGGTCACAATTTCATTGCTTAAAGGATCACTCCCCTATTGGTTTCCTATGTCTCTTAGGGACTCCAGTGGTGTAGTAGTGTATGACAAAAACTAAGCCATCAGGTCACTTTCTTTATTCTTCAACCAAGCAAGACTAACTAAATCACACATTGCACAACTTGAAATAATTCCTGAACATGTAACATTTTGTGCTACTAACAGTTTAACAAATTACTAGACAATTAATACCACATTGCTTAATTGTCTAGTAATTTGCAAGGGGATAAAAAGCACTCACAAAATAAATGCACTACATCTACTTCCGGTTCCGCTTAGCATAATGACATCATCCGGCAACGCCCTTGATGCATTTTGACATCCAATCATGACTGCTTCAGAAGGAACTCCTTGGACAGAAGTCACAAGGCTGCTATATACTGCTGATGAGAAAAGGTATTTAGCAGTTTATACTTGGTAAAATAATTGCATTTCCATGTTCTGTGTATTGTGGGAGATCAGATATAGTGAATACAGGGTAATGGGTTTAGAAACACTTTAAAGTGGAACTATAGGAAAAACATTTTCTTTTTTTTTTGGATAGAGCAAGGAAGGGTTATAGCACCAGTCAATTTTATTTTTCACCATCTGAGTCCCAATGTGGAGGTTTTGCCTGTATAACTACAGGCAATTTTTTGTTTTTAGTTTTGGATAGTATTATAGTAGTGTTTTTGGATTTAAGTATATAAGGATTAGAACACCTGACAAATGTTATTGCTGTCTGTGCACCTATTAACCTCCTTGGCGGTATGATTCTTTCCGATTTTTTGTGCTGAAAGCGGTACATTTTTTTCCATGGAAATATGTCGTTTTTTATTGTAGGCTGTAATTTTTAGGAATAACTCACTGAAATCTGTCCGAACAAGAGTCTATTAAACATTCCGGGTATGATAAAATTTGAAACACGAAATCATAAATTATAATTGAATAAATAATCATAAAAAATATTAATATAATAATAATAATAAATTTAAATCAATAATATAATCAAACCAAAAACACTGAAATTTGAAATACAGAGGCAAATTCGCACATCGCTGAGCAAAGTCGCAAAATTGTTTTCAGTGTCTGATGACGAATTTCCCCACGAATCATTATCACTCAATTCTGCAAGTGGTTCTAATTTACTATCGCTGCTCTAAAACCGCTTTTGACGTAAAGGGACGCTTTTTAGACGCCATGGACTTTTCTAAGTTTCCAAGCAGAAAGAACAGTCAAAATGCAGGCAGGGCACAGGACAAAGCAGTAGGGACAAAATATATGTGAAATGCATTGAAACAGCAATGACAGCAAAAATTACATTTTTTAAAAATTTCAAATTTCCTGCCGGTTCCGGCGCCCGTACGTCCCGACGTCACAGGGACCGGAACACAGAAGCCGGATGCCGGCATCAGCCGGAGGAGATGGCCGGGGATGCTGCAGGGGACACATTGCGGGAGCGAAGGACAAGGTAAGTGCTGCAGGGACCCCCAGAGCAGCGCCACATGGTAAGCCCGAGTGTAGCTCGGAGTTACCGCTTTTGGTATAGAAATTTTACCCCGAGCTACACTTGGGAATACCACTAAGGAGGTTAAGGAGATTACCTAATGATAATTCATTGAAACTGAAAGTAAAGAATATCCCAATTTTCGGGTTGTCCCCAGAAAAGTAATTGAGGGGAAATCTTCCAATAGGGACACTAGTCCTGTGATCTGGGGGTCCCCAAGGGATTATCTTAATTTGCAGGGATTTCCTCTCAATTCCTGTTTGGCTATGGGACAAGAAGTGAAGGGAAATCTCCACAATGGGACATAGATTGAGAAATTAAATCTCACAGGAGTCATAACCCTCCCTTTCTTTATCCAAAATAAGAAAACGTTTTGCCTATAGTTCTACTTAAAGATTGAACTGACATCCATTGCAGATTTCAAGGGCAGTTCGATTTCAATGCGGTGCAAGAAATGCACACGGATCACTAGTTTTCTTACACTGTGAACCTAGGCTAAAGGATGGATTTACATATTTGGACACTAGTTCTGGTGACCTGGGGGTCCCTAAGGGATTACCTTAATTTGCATGGATTTCCTCTTACTTCCTGCTTGCCATGGAACAAGACGTGAAGGGAAATCTCCCAATGGGATGGCAAAAAATAAATAAACAGGGGTTATGACACTCCCTTACTCTATCCCAAATGAAAAAAAAAGGTTTTGCCTATAGTTCTACTTGAATTGTTCCCAATTCCTTCCTTTTGTTTTTGTCTGACTATAATGCAGACTAATGCAAGCTGCTATCTAGGACATGAACTACTGTGAATGATGGAAAGTTCATTAACTGCTTTCCATCCACCCTATAGCAGAAGTACTGCTACAGGGCGATACGGGTGCGGCAAATCACACATATATATATACGTGATTTTGCATTTCCTGGTAGGGAAAATTGCTGTTGCAGCTGTCAATCACCGGGTCCTGGCCGGTGATACGTGCCAGCGCTCAGTGATTGCTAAGCATCTCCAACAGAGGGGAGAACTGTTTGTAAACAAAACAGTTCTCTCCCCTGTCAGCTCCTGCAAACTGCTTTGCATGGCTGTGCAGCATACTTACAGTAAAGCACAAACACACAGCCCCACAGTAAAACACACACACATCACACAGTTAACCCTTTGATCACCCCAGATGTTAACCCCTTCCTGCTCTGTGCCATTAGTACAGTGCCAGTGCTTTTTATTAGCACTGATCACTGTATTGATGTCACTGGGGATGTCAGTGACACCAAGTCAGTTCCCCCAGTGTCAGAATGCCTTCCGCAGTCCCGCAGTCCTGCTATAAGTCGCTGATCGGCACCATTACTAGTAAAAATTAAAATAAAATAAAAAATCCCAGAATATATACCACCAGTTGTAAACGCTTTAAATTTCATGTAAACCAATTAATTTACACACATTGGAATTTTTTTTAGCAAACACGAATACATTTTGACCTAAATTTCTTCTGAAATTTGATTTTTTAATTTGTTTTACTGGACATGTTTAATAGCAAAAAGTCAAAATAGTTTTTTTCTCAAAATTGTCAAAAGTTGCTTTTTTTCATAGCACAAAAAATTAAAAATGCACAGGTAATCAATTACAACCTAAAGAAAGCTCTATTTGTGGGAAAAAAGGACATAAATTTCAATTGGGTGCAGCGTAGCATGACCGTACAATTATCAGTTAAAGCAACGCAGTGACGTAACGCAAAAAATGGCCTGGTCAGGAAGGGGGTTAAATCCTCAGGAGGGCAAGTGGTTAAAATGTTGCAAGGCATATTAGAACTATAAATAACACCAAACACTAAAAACAATGTTTATATGTTTTCTATGGACTTGAATATAGCTATGAGGCATTACACTCTTTTTTTCATGTACAAAAAGACAAAAAAAATGGTGTAGGGTATTCAGCTACAGTACACAGACACTGTGATCTGAGCACTGTGAATCTGTTAGAATGCTGACATTGCTAAAGGCATGTTGTGTGCCAGATGTCACTGGCTCCTCCACACCTTTCACAAACAAGCTGTCAGGGGAGGTGGCATGCTGTTCTGGAGCACAAATGCTTATTACATTTCTCTTTTTACAAGAGTATTGAGTCCTATGAGCAGAGTGGAAGGGAATAGAGTTGACAGATCTTCTCTTAGCTATAATCAAAACTGATTATTTTATCACTGTACCAATATTTTTATGGAATGTAATTATACTGTATTTGTTCACATGCCGTAAAATGCTTAGTGCTCAATCTATCAGTTTGTTTTCAATGCTTTCTTTTTTTTTATGAAAAAGTACCAGCCTAATTCACTAGGCATATGTGCTTTTATCCAACAGCTTGAAAAAAATACCAAAATGGGAGAATCATATTTAGTACTCCATGACTATCTTGGCCTAAAATTATACTGTGAACAACAAAATTTAATTGGGAATTAAATCAGAACTTTACCCATAACAACCTGATGAAAAATGATGTTCTTTAGCAAATAACATACATTAGAAAATTAATAATTATGCTATCAAAATTAGTGTGTGCTGTACGCTGCCTATAGCATTGCTCCTGTTTCTTCTTGCTTGAGGCCATCATTTTGTTGAAGCCCAGAGCAGTTACTTCCTTATTGGAAACTCTCCCCCTCTCCTCGGTCTCAAAAACTCTGTCACTTTCTTCACATAAAATACAGTATGTACATTTCCAGCCTTGATTGTATGTCTTGGCTCAGTTATAGAGGAAGGCTGACAGCAGCTTTACAGTGCTGACGTTCACATGCTGCCATGAAGGAGAAAGCATCCTTGAAAGTTTAACTCTTTTGTGTCTCTCTGGCTGCAATGTTTGTTCTGTCTCCTCTCCTGCTTTTATTTTCTCCTTCCCTCCACACAGTCTGGGTTATTTGTATTGCTTTCTTCCCCCTTCAGTTAATTTTAAAGCTATCAGCTGATCAACCTAGTGGCTCTGATTTTAGGCACAGTGCCAAAAATAGAGAGTGACTGAGCATGTGCTGAGACAGTGTATTGCTGGATTTTACACAGTATAGGCTTTTATTTTTAATGTTTCACATAGCTATACCTGCAAAATGGGTCAGCATGAAGTGATCTATCAGGGCTTAATTTTCTGACTAAAATTCCACTTTAACTGCATCTGAGCACCACAAATAGAAATCTATATTTAATTAATTGTTAATATTTAAAAGCAAGCTCACCTATCCATCCATGTGTCCATGTTTTATTCTCTTGAGAAATCACTTTGAAAAACACACCCCTAACATATCTAGCTGCAGCCGTCTTGAGTAAGGACAGATGAAATATGAATTTACTTCCTGGAATCTATTTGCCCTTAGCTCAGGCATGCATGCTGAAAGGTATGTTTAGCTGAGAAAGACTGTCCTCATGTCATTTAGAGGAAAGAAAAAAAATGCAAATGGAGACTCCTGGAATGTATGACATAATTTTGGCCTAGGTCAGAAAACAGGAAAGAACTGAAAAAATGTAAAAGAAAAAAAAGGAAATATAATATTCATTCCTATGCATTTACTAATACTAGCAGCATAAGGTTTTAAAACATTAATGTTAAATACTAAAATATGAGATATTTCTAAACTGTCCATTGAGCTTAAAGTGATATTAAAGTCTTTGTTTAAAAAAAAAAGTTAGACTTTTCTGCTCTGTGCAGTGGTTTTGCATAGAGCAGCCCGAATTCTCTACTTCTTGGGTCCCCTCCTCCTGGCCCCTCCCTCCTGCTGAGTCCCCCCAGAGCAAGCAGCTTGCTATGGAGGCACCCAAGCAGCCACACTCCCGAGCCACAACACTGCTCGACCCCACCCCCTCCCTCTCCTGCCTCAGCCAATAAGGAGTGAGAATCCCAGGAGAGCCGAGGTTCTCGTGGACATCGCTGGATCAAGAAGGGGTTCAGGTAAGTATTAATGGGTGCTGGGGGCTGCTGCTGCACACAGAAGGTTTTTGACCTTCATGCATAGAATGCATGATGGTAAAAAAAACCTTGAGCCTTTACAACCACTTTAACCAATTGACTTCTGGGGCAATTTTTCACATACATACAGTATTAAAATCTGCATTTTTTCCTTGACAATTACTTATAAATCCTCAAAATTATATATATTCTAAAAGCAGAGGCCCTGTTGAATATATTAGTGGTTTCTGCAGATTTTTTTATGGCACGTGGAATTTGCATAACTGTTTAGCAAACTCAAATTTTCAGGACGAAATACAATTAAATTAATTTTATTGCCCACAAACATAATAATACCCATTTTTTTTAATGTTGTTCTGAATAAATATATAACAAACATGTTAAGATTTAAGATTGTGCACTGTAACATGGCAACAAACGACTACCTATAATGTTCCATAGGTAATGTTTTAAAAGCCTTTACAGGTTATCACTTTGGAGTTAAACTTGAGCTATGACACTAGAATTCTTTCTCTAACTCCAATATTTGCCACTATACTCACATGGGTGGTGCAATCACCAATTACATATGCATGCTGGACCTATGTGCGTGTTTGCATTTGTGTTTGAGGGGTGCTTTAATTAATTTTTTTTTTTACATTTATTTTTTACATGTTTTAATTTTTTTTTTCATTTAAATTCATTATCATTGCTTTGTGCAGTGTCAGGTAATCTTTCTTGAAACATCAGCGGTCTATTAAACCCCCAATAACTCTCCTGCCCATCAAAGCATCTGATCAAACACAGATTGTGTTTGATCAGATGCTTCCCTGATTGTAAAGGTACAGCCCTGAAACTGGAAGTGATGAAATCCTCATCACTTCTGGCTTCATTCATCACAAAAGATATCAAGGAACAATTTTACATGAAAGCCCATTGCTGGGTGTACAAATGATACCAGGCTGCAGCTGGGGAGCTCTAAGTGAAGGAGGTAGGGTGTAGGGCTCTGAGGAGGAGAGAGGCCGCCAAGCTCTGGTGCGGATGTACTCTCTGACAGCACATTTACTTTTTAGACACCCTTTCAATTCAGGGCCAACCAGGAATGAAGGCTGTTTTCCCTTGTTCCTGTCTGTGGAAATAATATGAATATCACATGATGGGGGATGCATGAAGAAGAACTTTTTGCCATCATTCCCTGGTGGATGCACAAACTAAGAGGGATTATGTTCTGAGTGGGAAGTCAAGGGGCAGCGATAAGGCATTCCAATGTCTCTCCATCACACCAGCTCTAGTATTGCCCTCTCTCCCGTTACTCTTCCACCCAGTAAGCTGCCATTGCTAGAGGAGAGCGACAAATTCTCCCTCCAGTAGCTATCTCAGTCTTCCTATTATGTAGAAAGCTATGCTGTTAATCATAATACATTTGCTTCCGATTCCTGAAATGTTTTGACCCCAAAATTTTCAACACCAATATTTTTTAATTATGTATGTTTTTATAGACTTGTCACACTTAATATCTAAAGAGTACGCTTAACCCTTGTGAAGAACTAAATCCAATCACAAAAAAGTTTTAACATTTTAATGTAATTTGCAAAAGTAATTTCAACCTTTCTAAAACTGCTTGTGTTAATAAAATACCTACTGGTCCTGTCATGAAAACCCTTGTCCGGTTATGTAGTGACAACTGTCTTCCAATCGTGCTTTTGCATTGTCACCCTGTCACATGCTCTGATGTTGAAGACTACAGGCAGCTGTGTTCACACACATTGCTCAGTTCCACTTTTGTCACTATCGGGAAGATACTGAAGCCAGTGCTTGTAGACAGGAGGTAGGTGAGAAAGTGTGAACAAGATCAGCAGTACTAAGAGGAAAAAAAATGATAAAAAAGGTAAATAAAGAAAAAATGGAATGGAAATTGATTGTGATACTCAGTGCTTAGCAAAATGACATCCAGATTAGGGTTTACATCTACTTAAGGGCACATTCACACATACTGTACACTGCAGTAATGCATATAATACTGTTTGGCATCCACTGGCAAATAAATGGTGCTGAAAAACCCGTGCCAGAATATCTATGCTCTTATTAAATGATTTATTTTAACCATTATTAATAATTGATGTTGGGATGGAATGGACACTACTTGGTTATAGTGGGTTCAACAATTTCTTATTGTGAAACAATATCTTTTTTAATGAGATTAGAGTTCTTCAATTAGTATTTTAATCTGTAATTCTTTAATTTTTAAACTACCGTAGTTTTAGCATATCAAATATACATAATCTAAGGCTTTTAACAGCCACATCTAAGCACTGGCTAACATCTTCTCCAACTACAACGTACAGACATTTTACAGAGGATTCACAAGTGATTTCATTTTCATGTTTCCAGGATGTGGAATCCATTTAATAATGTATATGATATGTACAGAATGCAGTAACT